ATCCATCGTGGCCCACATGATAATTGGATACTGATGTGCTACTTCAGAAACATGTTCTCTTTTGAGTGTATAAATGTGCCACATTATCAGTGCAACAGAAGCAGCAATGTATGTCATTAGTCTGAATAAAGTGTTAAACCAAGATTTGACAGATTAAGTAGCTACACACCTGATACAATGAATTAGAATCAGGGTGGATTAAAAACATACATACATACACACAGTGTGATTTCTCTAATACTATATATTAATATATAGTATATATATAGTATACTGTATATATGTCTATATGTCTATGTCTATAGGTCTATGTCTATATATATGTATACATATACACACACACATATATATGTATATGTATATATATGTATATGTATGTATATGTATATATATTTTATTTAAATACTTTTGGAGGAAAAATCTGAAGATAGTTTTCTATTTAAAGTACATTATAGTTCAAAGGTTATTCTGCATGAAATAGAACTTAGTTATGTAGCATGAAGGTGTATATTCCTGCAATATTTACATTTTTGATAAATTAATTCAATTAATTCAAGTTACCAAGATGAGATAACATGTACTTTTTCATGGTAAAAATGGTATAAAATGAATAAAGTTCAGGAAAAGACCTAATCCCGTTGTTTTTCTGCAAATCTGTATACAAACAATGAACACTTTGATGTTTAAGCAAATTCAGGAATATGTATGCTATATAATGTTATTATTTTAGTTAAATACCTCAATTTAAGTAGGTCTACAAATATGAGTGATTAACCTATTAACCGAAAATCTGTTCTGATATAGCTGATTTACTAATCTAACAGGTTATTATTCTAGATATGCAATTTTTGACTGGTTGCAAATATTAAAGATCATAGCTACCAGCAAGAATGAGGCTTTGCATTTAAAAATCATGATTTAAATAGAGTCTTACTGACTTGTGATATAAATCATAATTTAAATCAATTTGATATAAATCAAATCCACCCTGCTGAGAGTACATATTTATTTAATCACTTTTACTCATCATCTCAATCATAGAATCATAGAATAAACGAGTTGGAAGGAGCATATAAGGCTATTGTGTCCAACCCTCTTCTCAGTGCAGGAATCCATGTCAAAGAAGATCTGACAGATGGTTGTCCAATTTTCTCTTGAATGCCTCCAGTGTTGGAGCACTCATCACCTCCTGAGGCAGCTGGTTCTGTTATCATACTGCTGCAACAGTTGTGATGTTTTTCCTGATGTTCAGCTGAAATCTGGGTTCCTGTAGCTTGAGCACATTATTATGTGTCCTGTACTCTGGGATGATCGAGAACAAATCCTACCTCTTCTCTGCATGATAGCCTTTCAAGTATTTGAAAAGTGCTGTCATATCTCCCCTCAGTCTTCTTTTCTCAAGGCTAAACATGCCCAATTTTCCTCCATTGAAACAGAATTCAGACCAAAACAAAGACTATGCCATGAAACCTGCATAAGGTATACAGTCATGCCCCGCTTAACGATTACCCCGTATAACGACGAATCCGCTTCTTTCAGCCTTTCCTCATGGGGCCTGGTTTCCAGTCCCTGATCATCCTTGTTGCCCTCCTCTGAACTTGCTCCAATTAGTTGGCATCCTTCTTGAAGTGTGGTGTCCGAAACTGGGCACAATACTCAACGTGAGGCCTAACCAGTGCTGAATAGAGGGGGAATAGTACCTCATGGGATTTGGAGACTGGTCAATAATTGTTTGGTATAGTGGGTTTAAGGAGGCGCTTTTTCAACAAAGCTCATATAAACGCCTCTTTTATATCATCATCCATCATCATCAAACTGCAGAGTTGGGACCCTATCAGTCATCGAGTTCAGCCCATCAAGGAGGCACTGATTTATCCAGTCAGTCTCATGTGAATAGATCTGGCCTAATTCTGATCCTCTTTCAGATACAATTCAACCAGCAGAGCTGGATTTATCGTATAATACAGTACTAAGCATAAATAAGTGCAAAAATGCAACACAAGGTTGTTGAACTGGAATTTTGATTTTTTTCCCCACATCTTTAAGGGCATTCATCTATTTTAGGTTGGCCAGCTCTCCTACCCACCCAAGTGGAAATTATGACATGTTTTGGGAATAGAAAATCTGGGGTGTGTATATCTGAAACACTGGAAAGAGATATTGTAAAGCAGAAATTATTGTCAGCCAGATCCAATTTTTTTATTTATCCCAGTAGGATTTCTAGGAGGAGGAAAGAAAATTCCCTGCACAGATGAAAATGTCCACACCCATTGTTTGTGCTCCCAGATGTACTGATGTACAACATCTAATTGCTCCACGTGCTTGTTGATAGTTTTTTTTTGGAAGGCACATAAATGATATTTCAGTAGTAAGATGATATGAACATCTAAGTGTGTAACTGAAGACAAGCTAGAGACGGAAATATACTGCCATGGCAAATTCTTGTGGGTATCCTCTAAAATACCAAGCCTGGCTGCAGATGGTTTCCCAGAAGTACCAGTTATAGTCTTTTAATTGGACTTTCCCTTCGAGGGCTGGCACAGAGACAGGTTAGCTTTGGGAACAGTGGAATAATAATTTATGGAATGTGGTAAATAATGAAGTAGGACGCAAAATATTTAGACCTTCCTGAAACTACTTAAAATATGTTTTAGGTGCTTGCTCTTGTATTCATATTTGCATCCAGTGCTCCCAAGCATAATTGGAAGTATTCCATTTGAAAGAAAAATTTAAGAAAGGAGTAACTCTGCTCTGAAATCGTTACAAAACCTCTTCAGTTTCCAAAGCTAGATAAACAAATGATAGTTTTGAAATATAACTCCAAGAGCTTGAAATACTCGGTACCCTTCTAGAGTAAGGCTTTTAATGCTAGGACCTTTTGGACATCACTAATTCATAGGGTTGCCTTTAGTTGGACGTGATTTGACAGTTACTGAGAACAGCAAGCTGTGTTCATATTACTGCAACTGTTCTTTCACATCTAGATAAATCCTCAGAAATCTGGGAAGGAATTAGAAGCCGTGTCGTTGGTAGTTGGTTTATAAAGAAGAGCAAAATCCAGTGAAATCCAGTATTCTGTTGAACTTTCAATGAGCAGAAATTAGTAATGTGGAATTGTGTTGTTGTTCAAATGTTGCTGTTGTGCGTCCAGTGATCTCCATCAAGAAACCCTACCATCTGTTTATACAACAAGAACACTTGCACACATCCTGTGATTCTGTTTAACCGTGCTGATGGGACTTTCCGGTCAGCCCAAGCTCAATAGAATGCTAGCAGTTTACATTAACCTGTGTAATGCAGTGTTTCCTCTCATCTGCATTTGCATCTTTGAGTTGTGCAAGGCAAGGTGAAGCTCAAATGTTGCACCCTAACACTGGCCTATATTAGAAAGCAGTGTTTCTGCTCACTGTCAGCTAAGAGAAGTGAGGCTTCAAGTTGTGTTATGTCAGACAGCACAACTGTGAGTGAGACAACAAGTCACTCGTGTTTGAATTCCAGTAGACAGTGATAGGCTAAACTGGACCAAAATAGTGATGGTTCAGCATCTTCCCCTTTGTATCCTTGGCCCCAGTTTATTATTTATTTGCTGTTGCATTAGAGGTCATTTTGCCATGTAGACATTTCCCCTAAAAAAGGAAATGTTTCACCAAAGAAGCCCAAAATGTAGTGCAAATTAGCATAACATTTGTGTATCCTGAGTTTACTTAGAGATGCACATTTAGAGAAATATAATTTCAGCATTTCCCACTACAGTAGAGAAGAATGACCTAGGTGTTAACTCCAGTTTTTATTTGCTGATGGGCAACCTGAGGGTTACTCTTATACTTTTGTATGTCTCTTTATCTTTAAGGCAGGCTTAGACAGTACTTCATATAGAGTACTGTCTCTTGCAAAAATGGAACATGGACACCCTAAGTTTTTTTTTAAAAAATGTTCTCATGTGAACACTGAAATTTTTCCAGGGTCATAAAGGACTGTCATACAAATCTGTAGTAATTGTTGTCAACACAGAGACCACAAACCAGTTACATTTGACATGGTCAGTAGTGTGCAGCATTAGAGACAGTAACTGTGTTTGCACAGCATAGTAAGCCAGGAATCTGTACAAACCCTAACTAAACATACCACAAAACATGGCCACAAATCCGAATGGATTCAACAGAAAAACCTAAACCAAGCTGTGGATTCTGTCTCTGGTTTGTGTGGGAGAAATGAACCGGAGCAGCAGCTGTACCTGGGTTCACATGGTATGAGAAACAAACAAGGGACAAAGCTCCATTATTTGTTTAGCCACCCTGATGCAAGTGAGAGCAGTCAACAAGTGTGCACCAGATCTTTGTTAATCTACATTAAGTCAGAATTGCCAAGAATCCCTGCTTTTCTGCACTTGTGAACACACCCAGAAGCTGCTCAGAGACCTGCCTTGTAACCCTTCCCAGTCCTTTTCTTCATTATCCTTCCTTCATTATCTCCTTTCTGTTGAAATAAAGGGGCCAGTTCTTTCTCTGTTGGTTCTTGTGGGGTTTTAGGGCTTTTTGGACGTGTTCTGAAGGTTGTTCTTCCTAAAGTTTCACCAGTCTCTGTGGCCAGTGTCTTCAGAGGACAGCACTCTGTGCTCTGGTGTAGTTTGCTTGGGAGTGGAGTATTTATGGCTGTGAGATAGGCTTTTGTCTTTTTCTGTAGATGGGTGATTAGTGTGTCTTGTTGTGGGGGTATTGTTGTGATAATGAGGAGAGATTATCTGTCACTGTGATTGATTCTTTCTCTATTGCTTGCCAAATCAAGGGTGTACAGGGTATAGGTATATATAAGCATGTGTGTATCCGTAAACTCTCTCTCTCTCTCTCTCCTCTCTCTCTCTCTCTCTCTCTCTCTCTCACACACACACACACACACACACACACACACACACACACACACACAAACGCACAGAGAGAGAGAGAGAGAGAGAGAGACCATTGTTGAGTCTTTGAGTAATTAATTTGAATTTCTCTCAACAGATAAGCAAGTCACCTCTGTTTGTCCCAGGTGTATGGGGCCCCTATTACTCAGCAATGGTTCCGGGGTTCTGGCTTAATGAAGGGGGCCAAAGTGCAACAGGAAAACTGGTAAGGTGTTTTGCTCTTCTCAAAATAAAGGGCCCTAAGGCATTATTATTTATCTCCAAATGTGTTATGTGTTAATCATATGAGTTGCAGTGGAAATTCCAGTGATTAGGAAAAGGCTGTGGGTAGTTATAATTATAAAAAAGTTAAAATCTTAGTCGTCCATTAATATTGTTTCAGTAAATTACGAGGTATATGGAAGGAGCCATGGTGGTATACCTTATGCAGGTTTCATGGCATAGTCTTTGTTTAGGTCTGAATTCTGTTTCAGTGGAGGAAGATTTTGGGGAGGGGGGAATTAGGTTTTGCTTAATAACCTTTTACAATGACAGATCCATCCATCAGCCCATCCATTCCACTTTGTCCATGTTAGCTATCATCAGTATCAGGGAAGATGCTGAGAACAAAATGCATGTTTTAGGGCTGCACCACTTGAGAGGGAGAAAGTAGTGAGGCTTGATTGTTTTTCCTAAGTTTCAGGTGTTTCAGGTTTGAGGAGTTGTTCATGGAGGTTCTCACTTGGCTTGCTTCCTATCCCCATTAATGCAATCAGTCTTTTTATATAAATAGTCACATCGTTCCCAAATGAGCTATAGATTTGTTAATCTCTTTAAAGTGAAGAGGTCTTCACATTAAAAGAGGTCCAATTTAACCTCCTTGAAGCTTTTCCTGTTGAATGATCTGCATGGTGATGTCTTTCTGGTGTTCTGAGGCAAGTAAAACTCAAAAGTTTAAGACTGATCATTATCTGAAGGATATGTAGACCTTTTGAAATATATGCACTCAGTTACCTTACTGATTTATTTATAATGTGCTATATTAACATGGGAGGCATATTTAGACTGTTAAGCTTAGATTAGGTTGCTTGGTATGTTTGTTGTACAGTATTAGAAACTAATCAAAAAAGGGGCTTATTTCATAGAGTACATTAAGGAACTATGTGCTGGAGGAGGCTCTTGAGAGTCCCCTTGGACTGCAAGGAGAACAAACCTATCCATTCTAAAGGAAATCAACCCTGAGTGCTCACTGGAAGGACAGATCCTGAAGCTGAGGCTCCAGTACTTTGGCCATCTCATAAGAAGAGAAGACTCCTTGGAAAAGACCTTGATGTTAGGAAAGTGTGAAGGCAAGAGGAGAAGGGGACGACAGAGAATGAGATGGTTGGACAGTGTCATCGAAGGAACCAACATGAATTTGACACAACTCCAGGAGGCAGTGGAAGATAGGAGGGCCTGGCGTGCTCTGGTCCATGGGGTCACGAAGAGTCGGACACGACTAAGCAACTAAACGATGATGACATTAAGGAAACTTTTAAACCCAGCACTGCTGAAAAGCTACCACTGTCTGAGTGCACACTGAGATGAATGTGGGAGATAGAATCCCTTACTTTTAAGTAGCACTGCAATCAATGCCCAGTATGCCATCAGCTACATGAATTATGATGGCATGATTAGGAACAGGCAATTTTGTTGTCTGTTCTACAAGGCCAGACCCTAACAGGTTCACTAAAGATGAAATATGTGAATTTCAAAGATGTCAGCCTTCACTCAAGGTGAAATCATGTTTCCCTGTGCAGTAAGACCCTCAGAAGCAAAATGTCCCATCAGGTTAGCTCCTGTGAAATCTGTCTGAAGTAGCTACGTGACCAGCAAACTTAGTTGGTTTGGGGTTACTGGCATTTTGGTTCTTTATATCAATGTCCTTTTTCTCATGTGAATCTTTTGTACTCTGTATGCTATTGGCTTTTGTGATGTATCTATTCCATTCCTGTGAGGGATGTGGTGGTACTGCAGGTTAAACCGCAGAAGCCTCTGTGCTGCAAGGTCAGAAGACCTGCAGTCATAAGATGAAATCCACACGACAGAGTGAGCTCCCGTCACTTGTCCCAGCTCCCGCCAACATAGCAGTTCGAAAGCATGTAAAAATGTGAGTAGATAGATAGGTACCACTATGGTGGGAAGGTAATGGTGTTCCGTGTCTAGTTGCACTGGCCACGTGACCACAGAAACTGTCTACGGACAAACGGCTCTACGGCTTGGAGATGGGGATGAGCACAGCACCCTAGATCAGACACAACTGGACTAAATGTCAAGGGGAACCTTTACCTTTATTCCGTTCCTACCATTTCATCATGTTGCTTGTTACTGGGGTGCTGGAGGCATTGGACTGGATCCTTCTTCCAAGCTGCTTACAAATGGAAATTTGCTTTATGGGGTCTTGATTTTCAGTGTAGCTCAGAGACTGGAATCTTTGCCTCTCTCCCAGGCAGTGTGAAGAGTCTGGGTGACCTTCTACAGCTCAGTGAGCTCAGCACCAGTCACTGAGTTACTCGCACTGTTCCCCAAGCATGTGGTTGGTAATCAGCCACCAGCTGGGTTCCTCAGTGGATAGATCCTTTCCCTGTGTTTTGTCAGAGTTTTGTATCCTGTGGCTAGCAAAGGGCAGTGGAGAGTCTTCACCTACGATGTTACTTTGTTTGGTTACTGTGGCACCTTAAAGAATAACACATTTTTCATGGTCTGTTATATTGCATCTAATCATCATCATTGAACTGCATAGCTGGAAGGGATCCAAGGGCTCAGCGAGTCCAGCTCTTGTCAAGGAGGAACAGTGGGGAATCGAACTCCCAATCTCTGGCTCCAAAGTCAGATACCTAAATCACTGAGCTATCCAGCAGCTCTATATGTTGAAGTGGCTGCAGTCCATGAAAGCCCTCCAAAACCGGTTAGTCTTTAAGGTTCCAAAACAACCTTTATTAACTCTTCCTGCAACACACTAAAAAGGCTGCTAACTGGAAAATGTTTGGTTATTGCTGCCTAATCTTCCTAATGCACCCCAACATTCACTGCAGTTGTAGTCTTAGGAGCACCTTACATGATCATAGCCTAGAAGAATACTTAAGGCAGGCATTTAAAGTATGTATACTTAAGTCTCAGCCAATAGAACTGCTTGAAGCATTTAAATGTTCAAATAATTGAAATATTTCCCTTTTAGTTTCCCTGCAAGTACATTAGGTACCCTTAATTCATATTTGTTTAATTAAGTAGCTGTCACTATCCTGTGCATACAGGAAAAAGCCCCACTGGGTTCAGTGGAATGTATTCTCGGATAAGTGTGTGTCGGATTGCCGCCTGGGCTGTGCGACAGCATAATTTGTATTTCAGAAGTGCTAAAGCAGTGGAAGTTCATTTTTCACAATAGCACCTTCAGCAAATGTGAGTTCAATGGGCTGTATGTACATGCTTTGGACATGTTTGTCAGTGAGGAAGCAAAGAGTAATGTCCTTTAGGTAAAGGTAAAGGTTCCCCTTGACAATTTTTGTCCAGTCGTGTTCGACTCTAGGGGGCGGTGCTCATTCCCGTTTCCAAGCCATAGAGCCAGCGTTTTGTTCGAAGACAATCTTCCGTGGTCACATGGCCAGCGCAACTTAGACACAGAACACTGTTACCTTCCCACCGAGGTGGTCCCTATTGATCTACTTGTATTTGCATACTTTCAAACCGCTAGGTTGGCGGGAGCTGGGACAAGCGACGGGCGCTCACTCCATCGTGTGGATTTGATCTTACGACTGCTGGTCTTCTGACCCTGCAGCACAGGCTTCTGCGGTTTAGTGCCACCACGTCCCGCGCAGCGCCACCGCGTCCCATTTTGCAAAGCAAAAATTGTGTTATTCCTGTTGTTGTTGTTGGGTTTTTCCCACTTAGATACTGCCCCATAGTGCTAGAGCACTCTCTGGGTGGATTATAGCATAATTATGCAAACAACAACTTGCCTCCCAATGAGCTGGGCACCCTTTTTACAAACCTCAGAAGGATGGAAGACTCAGTCTGATGGATTCAGGTACCTTGAGCCGGGTACCTGAATCCATCAGGATTAAACTTGGGTTGTGAGCAGAGGCTTGACTGCAGTTTAACTACTGCGCCATGGATCTTGTTTTCTGGCACAGTATCAAACTTCAACAGCAGTAATAGTACAGGCCACTGCTTGTACCTGATGTGGCTTGGAGAGATCCATAAAATGAGAGAAAACAAAGAATAACTTCTACTCTCTTTTTTGTAGTTTTATTAAATTTAAATGATACGTTTTGACTCAGTGCTTATATTTCCCCACCATGGTACATAAGTCCTGAAACTAGACAGTATGTCCCATGTAAGGACTTTAACCTTGTAACCACATGTATGCAACTTAGCACTTTTAGAAACATTCGGTAGTTTCCTAGTAAGGTTGAAAGAAGCCAAATTGTAGACGGTTGAAGTGCATTTTTTTATAAAACTGAATTTAACTTCTGCCAGCAATTAATAAGAAAATGCATCTTTCTTTCTTTTAAGATAGAGCATGTCGTCCAAGGACACGCTGCTTTCCCAGAACTGCAAACAAAATCTGCAGCCAGGTCTGGCCATCATCCTTATTTCTTATCATTTTCAGTCTCTTAGAAACATTATTTAACCACAGCCCAGAACCTGGTTCAGCCAGAATGTTCCAATTTAATTGTGATCTGGATTGGTTCTTTCTCATCACACTAATTTCTTCCATTCTCCAAGCTTGTTCAATATTCTTCCCATTCCATAATACAACTTTCTTTTTTTGTATTCAGCATGCTGCCTAAGGACTGATCCACGTAGCAGCTTCTTAGGTGCTGACATCACTAGAAATTGTGATGTCAGCCTACCACATATGCTTTTGTTCTTGTAAAATACAGTGGCGCCCCACAAGACGATGTTAATTCATTCAGTGAAAATCGCTGGCTTGTGAAAACATCGTCTTGCGAAGTGCGGTTCCCCATTGGAATGCATTGAAATCCATTTAATGCGTTCCAGTGGGGAAAATCATTGTCATTTTGCGAATATCGCCCATAGAGAAACCATTTTATGAAACGTGGATCAGCTATAGAAATCACTGTCTTGCGAAAAAAGGTCCCCAAAACACCCGTTTTGCGAGTTGCAGATTTAGCTGTCAAAATCGTCTTGCGAAAATCAGTCCTGAAAAAAACCCCATCTTGTGAAGCATGGTCCAAAACATCATCCAGCGAAAATCGCCCATAGGAAACACCATTTTGCAAAGCGCTATAGCGATCGCAAAAACTCATCATCTAGTGAATTAACCATTTTGCGAGGTAATCGTCTAGCGGGGCACCACTGTGCTCTTGTGCATTCTTGAACAGTTCCGCTCAGCACACTTTTAGTCTTCCTTTTCAGCTTGCACATAAAGCATATTATTTAGACACAATTTTTTATCTGTACTAAATTGCTATAGAGATCAACTAGTGATGATCATATCACCTGACAAATAGTTACTTGGATAATCGGCCTAATAAGTATGATGCCCAGAATGCAGAAGTAATAATGAAAGTAATATAAAAATGGGATACCCATTTTGACATAGTAGATAGAGTGACAGACTAGGACTCAGTAAATTTGAGTTTGAATCCCTGCTTAGCCACAGAAGCTCACTGGGTGTGTGGAATTGGTAAACCCACTCCTTAAATATCTCCATTGCCTTGGGTGTCCTATACGCGGAGGTAAGCTGAGGAGAGAACAAAACTGCCCATATCTTGCCTCTGTAAACAGGCTTCCTTCAATCACGAGGCTTAGCTTCCTACAGTCAGGTGATTTAGCTTCCTCCAATCACGAGCCTTATGGAACTGATGTCAGCTGAAGCTGAACAAACCAGTTGGAACACACCTCATTGGAGGTGGAGCCTATAGGCACAGATGCGACAGGGACTTCTAATGTCCCAGCATTCTGAGCCCAGAGGCTGAATACTCAAGGCTAAGTTAAGATTTCTTAATTTTGGGTTAGAAAGGTCTTATACACTGGGGTGTCTTATACAAGGAAAAATATGGTACATCCTTTTGCTTTACACAAGATTTCCCTGAGTCAAGATCCATAGGTTTCCTGAAAGAACAGCATATGTATCAAACTCTTGAGGAGCTTTAGGCTAGCAGCACATCAGATTTCAGATGGGACACAATTATACTTTAGGGATGAAGTGTAACTTGTACTACGTCACTTGGCATTTTGATTAGATTTTATATAAAAAGAGGCAAAACAATTATGCTCATTATGCAAAAAAAGGAGAACTGGAAATGCATTTAGATTGATTCTGCAGCCAGAGTGCAGGTTTTCCCAGAAGATTAGGGCAGAATCCAGCCACAAGATAGTTTAGGTTACATTAATATTAACATTTCATCTTTGATTTTCAGATACTGCATGTTACCCCGGTCATTGCTTTTTCTTCCTCCTCCTAATCTAGTGCTGAGTATTATCTTCTTGTGGGATAGTTAGAATTATATATGGGTCTTAAAACCAGTGTAAGATGTATGTATGTGACAATTTTCTCCTAATTATTTGCAGTGTAAAAAGACCATTGTGCAAACCTGAAAAGAGAGAGAGAGAGAGAGACAGAGATAACCTTTTAGAAATGAAGAGCATTTTTTTCCCTGCCATGGACTCAGCAGTGGGATTACAAACACACACGTAAACACACACTGCATTATTTTCCACTTAGGAGGAGACTCCTGGGCAGACTTGAACTTCCAGCCTGGGGCTCTGGCAGGAAAAAAAGAGACACTCCCTACATTTATTTATTGATTCAAAAGATAATAAGCCTGCTTTTTAACATAAACTCTCCCAAGGTAGAAAACAAGAAAACTTAAAACCACAAACATGGTAATGCTATGGGGAAAACAATGATAAGATTTTTTTTTAAAAAAAGACTTTTAGCTAGACCAATAGACATAATTGCCCCACAGAGTCTTAACTCAGTTGTAAGCCAAGGTAAATAGGAGGGTCTTTTAAGGTTTGCTTGAAACCATATAATGGCTGGACCTAGCAGATACCAGCTGAAACAGAGCTCAACAAGCAGGGGAACAATACCGATAGGCATACTACCTTCCCTGTCCATTCCTCCAAAGCAGGATGTGGGGTTTTTTGTTTTGTTTTGCTTTGCTTTGCCTTTGAAAGGGGGAAGGATGAGTTGGGTGCCTAAAAGGGTTTCATTCCCCCCCAGACATTCAGAGTAAAATAGCCTAGTTGGTTTCTGAACCAAAATAAAGTGATTTGCCAAAGCTCCCTACACCCCCCACACACACACTTTCCCCCATGTTCCTTCCACCATATTTGCCAGGCATGCTACAGATAACCTCAAGTGGGAATGCAACAGAGGAAGAGGTCCTGAACCATTCTGGCACCCGAGGTGCCGTTGTGCCCCATATACCAGAGGCAGTAAGGCTCAAAAATTGCCTTTTTAATGCAAATAGGCACCTCTTGGGTGGGAGAGAAAGAAGTGGAAGAATTCTTAAAATATGAGCTAGAGATGACTGAGGGTTTTTTTTTTTTTGCGGGGGGGGGGAGAGAATGAAGAGAGGAAACCATACTCTTGAGATTTGTATTTCCACTAGGAAATTCACACCCCTGTCACATCTTTATTTCATAAAAGGTAAAGGTAAAGGTTCCCCCTGACATTTTTTGTCTAGTCGTGTTCGACTCTAGGGGGCGGTGCTCATCCCCGTTTCCAAGCCATGGAGCCAGCGTTTGTCCGAAGACAATCTTCCGTGGTCACATGGCCAGTGCGACTTAGACACGGAACGCTGTTACCTTCCCACCGAGGTGGTCCCTATTTATCTACTTGCATTTGCATGCTTTTGAACCGCTAGATTGGCGGGAGCTGGGACAAAGCGACGGGAGCTCACTCTGTCGCGTGGATTCGATCTTATGACTGCTTGGTTTTCTGACCCTGCAGCACAGGCTTCTGCGGGTTAGCCCGCAGCGCCACCACATCCCTCTGTATTTCATAGCATGGTGAAAATAAGATGAAATAAGGCGATGATTCTCCTGTGCTGGCAGGAAGTGTCGTCCTTATGTGATGCATTGTAAAGCTAGACTGTTGGTAAAGAGATTTATAGTAGCATCTCAAAAGCATAGCCAATTGCATTTCTATAATTCTTTGCAGGCAACAGTCCTTTGATAAAGCACCTTTATAGGTCCCAAAGTAGTAATCAGGGCATGTAAAACTTATAATTTTCTGTACTCATTGAATAACATGTTGATGCATTGAATGGAGAGACACTGTTTGCATGCTAAAGTTGAAATACAATCTAAATCATGTTACCCTCTCTTGTCAAAGCAGCATCTGGTGCAAAAGAAGTTCATGTTTGAGATAGCTTCGAACCGTGCTCAGAGCAGATCAGCAGGACCTTTTCAGCAAATTAAAAGTAAGGCAGATTTTATATAGGAGAGACGGTAGCTTGCTATAGGCTTGTGTATATTTTCTTCACCTCGTGCAGAAAAGTGTCAGTAAGGCATATTGACAGAGAGTCTGAGGCACCATCTTTCCAGCCATTTTTGCAATATAAATGCAATAATATAGAGGAACATACACAACTATATTGCACAACTGCAGTAACAGGGTATAGAAAGGCTTAGGCTTAAACCCAAGCCAGTTGCTCCTCTTGAACTAGACTTTGGGGTTCAAGACGAGATGCAGCCTAAGGGTACCTAAACAACTGCAGTTTTCGAAGAGGTAGCCAAGTTAGTGTGCGCTAACATATCAGGCAAAAACAAAAATTAAAGAAAGGACACAACAACATTGTGGCACCTTAAAGACTAACTGCTTTATTTTAATGTGAGCTTTCGTGGACAAGTCCACTTCTTCAGACACCAGCCGCAGCTACAGTGGAGGCAAAAGTGGCAGGTAGGGGACAGAGGCAAGAGGAAGTATAAGTCAAATCAGTACCTGGCGTGGGCACCAGGCCACTGGGACTGACACTTATAATCGCACAACCCAGCATTTTCTGTTCACTTTTTAAACTTTTAATTGTCCCAGCTGCACATGACTGGAGCATGGCTGGAACATTGCCAGCTGACAGCATGCTGTGCAGGGCAGCCACTAGACCACATGTTAAAAAGAGGGGGAAAGAGACTGCTCCATAAGCTCCTCAGTGGGAGATGGGGGAAGGGGAATAGAGCAACCTGAGCATTGTGGGAAAGGAGACAGGTCTAGTCCTTTTGAGAGAGAAGGGCAGGGCAGTGGCAGCATAACAAGAAAGGGAACAGAGGCCAAGTGACAGGTGCAGGACATCCTGAGCATCTTGCCCGTGGCAGAAATAAAATGGTATTTCCCCCGGCCAGCCTGTGCTGCAATCTGTGCCACTGCTTCCATGTCATTCTTCACTTGTTGTGTAGGCTTCTTTCTCTGCCCTTCTCAGGAAGAGGGAAAACATTGATAACATTGAGAGGCGATAGTGAAGTGTATATTAAGTGCAAGGGATGGGCAAGTGGTTTTTTAAATCTCTAACCTTTTTTAACATTTCAAATGCCCTGCTTGCTTTCACAGCAATGTGGAGCTTTTCTCCTCCCCCCCCCCCACGGGCACTCTGGCAGTCTGTCCAGAATGCAGAGGTGACCAATGTGATGTGCTTAGTCACATGGGCATTTCAGGAAGGGTTCTCTCAGAAGAATCTTGTTCCTCAGCAAGTATCTTTGGGAGTCATTTCAACAGATGTTATTGAATTTCTTCCCTGCTGCCATTTCTAGCATTTCTCCCTGCAGTGCACACACATTTGGAATGGATGGGGGTGGGGATGAGGGAAATCCTTGGGACAGCTGAAGTTGGACAGCATAGGCCAAGTGGATGTGGCATAAGGGCTACTAAAGACTCATAGTAATTTGCAAAGCCATCAGTATCCCCTCCCTTCATGAAAAAGATGCATTAAACAACCTTTAACATATTTGAATAATGATATGAATTGTTATTTTAACGTTTTCCAAGTGCACTTCATTTTGACTAATACCCTACAATAGCAAACACATGGTGTGACTTAATTGAAACAGTGTGTAGCTGAATGCTTAAATGTAGAATATAAATATACAGCTGCAAGGCGGTCGTAAGTCAGAGTAGTAAACACATGCCAAATTCCCTCAGGGAGCTCGTTAGTGTACGGCTGAATGTATGTGCAGGGGCTAAGTGAATATCACTATTTAGACCTCCAGAAACAAGACAATGACTAATCAATTATAATTATAGAAAGATGCTTATATTGACTAACCTCTCTGAAAATGAAGCATCTCTTCAGTACAACACAATGGAATTTAAAATGCTGTTTTTAATGTTGCTTCTAGACATTCATAACATACCAACATGAATTTGACCCAACTCCAGGAGGCAGTGGAAGACAGGAGGGCCTGGCATGCTCTGGTCCATGGGGTCACGAAGAGTTGGACACGACTAAATGACTAAACAACAACAACAACAAAAAGCCTTCACGAATACAACAAAAAAAGACATTCATAAAGAGGAACAATAATAGCCTATTAGACTAGCATGTTAGTACAGGCAATACACAGCAAAGTCACAGTTTCCGTAGATGTGAATTTCATGAACGGGTACCTTCCAGAGAAATTTAAGGATATTTAGGATTTAGTGAAGTGAATGGACATTAGGCACACAAAATGTAATCTGGATTACACCCGTTGGTTCAGTAGCAGCCCATACAGCATCTGTTTTATAAATGCCACAATTTCCAGACACAAAAAGATTCCAATGAATAATTAACATATTTTATTTCATGTGCAACTGTTTTGCATGTTAAATCTCATGTATCCAGTGTGTTCCTAGATGATTTCATGAACTGTATCCCTCTGAGAAGATGGCAATCTTCAGTTCTATAAAGGTGTAGTCCAGAAGTGGTAGACATCCACATATTTGGGATTACAGTTCCCATAATTCTTGAATATTAGCCATGCTACCTGGTGTTAATGGAAGTTGTAGTCTCAAACATGTGGAGGATCCCAGGTTGTTTAGGGTTGCTATAATTGGTGAACAGTCAGTGATCTATATAATCAGTGAAGTATGGTCATTGTTTCATGTTTTAAGGCTGCAGTTCTAACCAGTTTCCTTGCTTGAGCTGAGTGCAGTTTATTCCTGAGTGAACCTGTTTAGGATCAGGGTGGAAATCACACATTAGGTGCAACTAAAATGAGATGCTTGTTCTGCTTCTGACACTTTACGCATTCATTTGTTCAACAAGTCACACTGGATGAGTAACTTTGTGATATTCTCTTTCCTGCCTCCTTTTCCAATTTGGCTTTGTAGGCTTTTTGATGATTTGTGTGTGTCTCTTGTTAGGAGTCCAAATCAGGCAGTATGTTCAGGGAATAACCTCTCTCTCCCTCACCCACCCCCACACCCCCTTTTTCCTGCTTGTTTTTCTTGCAGTACTCAAAGTATATATACATACTTGAATGGTCACCTGGATCTGATTAAGAAATCTTTGCCTGTGGGTTTCCTCACTGTTGATTTACATGTTTGGCCAGATTTCCATGGCAACCGATCTCCCCTTGCAGATCTCACTCTAAAGGGCATGGTAAGAAACAGCCTGGTTGCAAAAGGTTAAAATGAACAGTGGGGTAAAATAAGAGCAATTTTTTAAAACATTAGCCTCTTTATTCAACAGATATCCCACAGAGTGTCCGTTTTTTCTTACTTTTTTGTTAAATTTTGAACATTCACATGTTAAAAAAAGAACATAAATGTGTATTTTTATTAGTTGTTATTTTACTTTATTATTTTTTTTAAAAAAATAGGGAGGCATGTTTTCACATATTTAGAAACTTTGTAGCTGTACTGCATATGAGCCTTCCAGATCTTTGTACTCATTTGTACAATTTTCTGAGGGTTTGAAGTCCTGATAAATTCCACATGTATAGGCCGTGTTGGTTTTTAGTGAAGCAAACAAGTAATGAAAAGAAAGAAGCTATGGCATCTTTTAAAAAATCACATATGGTTTAATGAGGGTCTGCTGTATCAGAACTGTAGAGGATGAGGACAGCCAGCCATGTGCATCAGTTGGGGGATGCAGCAGAGAATAAACCAAGTGAATGCTTTGTCGACTAAAAAGAGAATAGGAAGATCCCTGCTGAATCCCCCCCCCAAAGGCTATCTAGTCAAGGAGTCTGTTCCCATAGCAGCCAGTCACATCCTGTCAGGGGCATGCAGGACAGGAAGGCAACCGCACCCTCCTGCTTACATTCACAACAGCTGGTATTCAGAAGCATACTGTTGATGCATAGTCATCCAAACTCACAAGACAACAGAACTGCAGGATGTGCTTCCTGCGCGATAAAGTATGAAAACAGATCACCCATTTTACTACTTAGCAGACTTTGCTTTCAAACTGCAGGAAAAAAAACTGCCAGCTGCCTTCTGCAGCCATATTTCCACTTATGAACTAACAGCCTGGCACAAGTGGTTTATTCACTGACTGCTCCTTAAAACACCTTGATATTGTGTGGTGTTTGTTTCAGGAGGGTTGATTTTCTTATATTTATTGTTAACCGCCCAGAGTAGTGTTTGCCACTAAGTCAGGTGTTATATAAGTACTCAAAACTAATAATGCTACACTACACTATACTATTAAACATATACCATAGTGATGTGACCATCAGAAGTAGTGGAGTAAAACAAGTGTGTACAGTTTGTGACTACCAATCTGAAATCAGCCCATCAGCTGTCTGTTGTGGCCTGTCATGAGTTTGAAACCCTCGTCCTGAGCTTTGTTATGCAGCCAGAGAGCCCAAAAATGAGATTTGCTAAGCCCTCATATATAGCTATTGGACTGGATTCAGTCTCCTGAATAGCAGAGTCATATGCTGTGAAAGCCTGAGGTAAAACACAGCTGGTAGTGGCTTTTCGGTAATATATTTCCCAGCATTTCCTCTTTTCCATTGTGAGGTAAAATCTGCTGCGCATTCTTTCCCAGAAAAGGAGGAAGGTTCCAGTACTATGCTATTACTATTACTACTATTGCTGCTGTTGCTTCTGCTGGTACTACTATTAGCATAATTGTTATTATTATATTTCTTGTATGATTGTTGATTGCATTTGAAGCCAGGGCTGATCTCTAATCAAATGACTGGGTTTCTGTTCGTAATTTTGGAAGGATCTGAATTCAAGACTTGTAATCCAGGGAAGTGGCTTGAGGGAAAACACAATGAAATGTGGGACTTTTAAAATAAAAAATCATAGTGAAAATATATCATGAGGAATATTTTCTGATTGATTTGCTCCTGAAATTGGTGATTTATTAATGTTTGACCATACCACTCCAAGGGGAATAAAGACGAGTGTTAGCATGATTGTGCTCACAACAATAAACTTCTGATTTACTCTAGATTTTTGCCTTTGGCTTAAGAAGGGAATAAGAAAGTACTTTACCTTTTGCATCAGAAATATTTTTCTTCTTGTCTTTCCTACAGCTGGTGGGACTGACTCTGTCACAAACCCTTGATGATCTCGCTCTTCTTTATTTAGCCACCATTCAAGCCATTGCAGTAAGTCATTGGAAACTGCCATTTTAAAATATTAATATTTTTAATTTAAAAACACTGAGTACTTAAAATCAATAGACTGTCATCCTATGTCACACATTAATCATACTATCTATGCAACAGATCCGTAGTTACATTTATCCAGTAAACATCAAAATAAGAGTCTCTACTGGAATTCTCACCCAGGGCACAGATGAACTGTAGAATAAATGGTTTCCATTGGTTGCGTTCCCAAAGTCAGTTTTTGGGAAATGATGTTTGGATCATAGTGGGAACCTATGGATACAAGTGTGTGCAAATGACCTGTTGAAATTATTAACCCTATTTGCGGGCAGCATAGTTGGACAAACATTTCACCAGATTTCTCCATTGAAGGAGTTCTTCCAACAGTTGTTCCATAATTCACCATCATTCATTTTTTGTTCCTTTGCTGCTGTTGCCATTTACTGGCAGACTGTCCACCATTTTGCATTTTCTGTAACGTCCAAGGTCTTCTGTGGTTGCAATAGGATGTTGTGCTATTGTTGAGTCATGAATAGTCAAACTAATGCTGGTCATTTTCCATTCTCTGTCTGCTAATGTCAGAGGTTGTGTGTTCAGCATATTCCCCATGCCCTCTGCTATATTTACGTGTAAAATGGGGGGGGATATGTTCCCTTTTTCTTCTTCTAGCTTGTTCCTTGTGTTCTTGTCCCCTCTGTGTCGGATTTACTCTCTTCCTCCGCACTGAAATTAGTTTGAAACCAGCAAGTTTGCAAGGCTTGTGGCAAAGAATATTCTTTCAAGACCCTGTGCATACATCTCATCACCTGCAAGGAATCCTTTCTATTGGTATTGTAAGCCATGGTCTTTGCCTAGCCAGCTGTTCAGTTTCAGTATCCTTCTTTCCATTCACCTGACCTTCAATAAGGATTGATGAAAACACTACTTGTTCCTCCAGTTCCTTTGCTTTTCCGCTTAAGAGCATCAAAGTCTCTGCCATTCCAGCTGACATTTCCTCTGGCTGTTATCCTTTATTCCTGCATGGATCAGCAGCAACAGATAATAGTCACTTGGTGTGATGAGACTTGGCTACCTTGAATACACACTCCAGGAAGACAACACAATTCCCAAGATGACATATCCACAACTGCATAATTTGTGCAGCACTCAAGGTAGTGTCCCATCTTCCAGTGTCCCAGAGTCGCCTTTCATGTGAAGAGCTTGGTGTTGGTTGTGCAGAACTAGTAGCACCAACTGATTTTCCTGGGCTGAAGGGACATGTGTGACTCCTGCTCTTCCTTTTGTCCTTTGCTTTCTTCCTCCTCTTTGAAAGCCTCCTCTTTTTGGTGCCCTTTGAAAAAGGTATTTTCTCCTCATATATACATAAATCCCTCAACATGTCTGATATGTTAAAAAGTACAAAAATGTGCCTTGAGCCTTTTCATGTATCTTGTAAGAGAGTGTCTTGTTTGCACATACTACATGTTTAGTTCAGACAGGAAAATAAACATGGCCTGTGCCTTGCAGATGGCTAGAGCCCCTCCCTTCTTAAAGACTAACTGTGTGAACAGACTGTGAGGGGGGATGCACTAGCTGCCCCTGGCAAGCCATCTGCCTTGGCCCCTGGTGAACTCCAGGGAGACCCCAGTGACAGGGCAGCCTGAGGGCACCGAGAACAAGGTGAGGCCCCAGGTGACAGTAAGGAGACTGAGGCCAGATTGGTGGGACCTTCTCTTCTCATGAGAAGAGAAGACTCCTTGGAAAAGACCTTGATGCTGGGAAAGTGTGAAGGCAAGAGGAGAAGGGGACGACCGAGGATGAGATGGTTGGACAGTGTCATCGAAGCAACCAACATGAATTTGACACAACTCCGGGAGGCAGTGGAAGATAGGAGGGCCTGGCATGCTCTGGTCCATGGGGTCACGAAGAATTGGACATGACTAAATGAGTAAGCAATGATGATGGACTTAAGGGGAGGAGGAGGAGGAAGACAAGAGAAACGTGGGCTCAGACATCACCTTCTACGGATTCAGAGGAGGATGGGATAGAGGCTATGAAAGAACTGGTGCTCACCTTCTGTGCCCTCAGAGAATACTAGTCTAGAAACCCCTAGAAGGGGGAACATGTCCCATTCTGGCCTATTAAAGGGTGAGGATAGATACATGGCACACAAGCCATTCTTCAGTTCTCAAGCTCTGATGACCCGTTGGGTACCAAGATGACCTGTTGGGCACCCTGGTCCCATCCTAATCCAGAGGAAGCACTGGTGGAATATGTGGCAGAAGGAACCACTTTGGCAGAGCTGCAGGAGGCAGGAAAACCTAGAGGGACAGAGAAGCCCCCAAGGGCATCTACTCACTGAGGTCAGTGTGGAAAATTAGACCCCAGCCATGGACTGTATGTAGACTTCACTGCCCACTGACGGAAACTCAGGCCCATGTGAGGAATGGAAACAGCAGGGAGCTAGTGAAGTTAACTAAGCCCCCTTTGTGGACTATTGAAATAAGAAAAGCAGTTGGCCAACCATCTTTTGTACCCTGCACCTGCACCTCACCTTTAAAAAAAAGGGCAGTTCAAATAGCAGTGAGAGTCTGGACTTCATGGAGCCCATGTTAGAGAAGATCATCCTCCTGGCCACCTCTTCCCTGTGCAGTAGTCATACAGACTTCTGAGTGGTGAGATCTACTTCCTTGCTTGAATCTCAAAATCTGTTACCTGTAGTCCAATGCAAACAATTAAAGTTGAAGAACTATGAAGCCACTAATTCATTTTCTGTACTAAAACTGATCATTCACCACACTATTTCTGTGCAAAAGCTTACAGTTGATTATATCTTTCCCCTACTTCCTTCTTTTCAGTAGCTTAGGTTAGGATGGGAAAGGAATCATCTTATTGCCACTGGTTAAACAACTGGGATTCAGCGGTCCATACTGATACGCTGCAAATATCCTAGAAGAGCACAGCCTCTTTTTTGCTCATATTTAGTGGTGTACAGTTCTACATTTCTGCCTGTGTCTAAATTGGTACTTACAAGTTCTTACCAGCCATTGCATTGTTACTTATCACTGGCAGTGTAACTGAGTTCTGTTCAACTGAAGTGTAAATCTGCAGCCTTGCAGGCACATTCATTAGACGTGAAATATAAGGATGGTCCCAAAACTGAGCTTCATTAGTTTTCTGGAGTCTCCATCTATCTTATTTTTATGTCATCCTGGAAGAAACCAATTGCTTGTGTTCTTAGATGGAGGAGGAGGGGTGGTGGCTCACACAACAGACTACGGCCAACGTAAATTACTTTCACATTCAGCATCATGTCTCTCCATGAAGTCTAGAAGTGAGGGCAGGCTCTGTGAACTCTGTTTGTACTGTTTTAACATTTCCCCTGACAAAAACAGGATTACTCTAACCAAACCTGGAATATATTACTGCAAGTCCTATTCTTGTTCTTGTTTGGTAATGTAATAGCAGCGCGCTTGGTACCTTAATGCCATTCCTTTTCATGTAAAAAAGAAATGCAAGTGCTTTATTGGGAAATGAGAACTACTGATGTTGTCTCGTGAAAGAGATTACAGACAACAACTTTTCAGTGCCAAGCAAGCACTGTGGCATTATTCTATTCTAATGAAGTGGAAGCTTTCCCAGTTGGATATCCTGGGAAAACCATCTATTATTATCTAAATGCTTCATTGCGCATGATTGCATTGTGCTCTGAAATTAAACCTTTGCTGGTCTCTCTATCATATTTTAATGATTATTAAAATATATAATTCAAGATTTTAAAAAATGGTATCTTAGTTTCTTTTCTCTACATCCAATAATTCTCTCTCTATGTAGTACCAGCATACTTAAGGCAATATGGGGTGAATGCCATTGATTCGATGATGACTTCTTTGGTAATGTTCAGAAGATACAAATTTTAAGTTTAAAGGTTTTCAGTATGTTTTTCTTTTCTTCCTTGTTTGGAAGATAATTTGCGTTGTGTAGAGATGAAAACCCCACATCACATTAATCTGCAGTTGTGATTTGTATTTCAAAGCAGTATGTTGTGTGCTGGAGCTCAGCTTCAAAAACTGTCAACATTTTGAACTTAGCCACTATACACTAACCTTTTATTTCCTCTTCAGTGTGAGATGCTTGAGAAAATAAAATTAACAGAGTTCTCTCAGTTATGTTTTTTTAAAAAAAACCAATTTTGATCTAGATCAATATGAAATTGACTCTTTAAAGGCAACTAGTATTTTCTCCATACTGTACAAACATAAATTTAATTTTGTTAGGATGTTCTTTTTATATTGCTTAGAGAGAAAGATGTGAATCTGTTGGTGGAGGAGGAATGGTGGAACATGTACAGTATATACTTGTAATCATCTGTGCATGTAAAAGTGATGCCATTTGTTCAACTGTGTGAGAGGATTTCAGCCAATAGTTGTATTTGCTATATAATTGTGTTTGTGTGAGCAACATGTATATTCCTGATTCTTTTAGTTGGGAATTACATATGTCATCATAAGATAACAAGAGAAGATCAAGAGTTGGTTTTATCACTTTTTAATCTTATAATACTTCATTTCCATGTTCCTACATATGGGATATGTAATAACCATTCTTGTCAGTTTAGCTCACCCTTCATGATTTTGTTCTGTCATGTGCCTACTACCCTAATATAAAAGGGAAGACATAATCATCTTTCATTGAGTATTTTGTTATTTTCAGCTGTGTCTTAAGTGTCTTGAATTTGTGGGACAATGTCATGTATTTTCACAGGCAGTGATTCTAGAAATAGTACAAGGTGACTCTTTGTGGTTTCATTTCTGCCATGTGCAAGGGGGTGCTTTTTGTTAAATAAAACATAAACAGACCAGGTGTCAGTGCAAACATTTCCTTAAACACCTGCTGCTATAGGTGGGAAGAGGTGGGGCAGATCCTTTGTGTTAATCACCCACAGTCCCATGTGTTAATAGACAACAGCTATTTCTCCCAGTAGTTGAAGCAGCCATTTTCTCTGCAGTTTCTTTTATTAA